GAAAGGCTTTAAGGCACAGATCTAAAGCCCTACACCTGGAGTGACTTGGAGATTAAGAGCCAATAAAGACTTTCTCCTTTTCCATCCTCTGCCTTCGCAGGGTGCTCCTGTTCCCCCCTCTGTCCAGCCGCCTCCGCTACTTGATCCACAGGACTGTGGAGAACGTGGATTTGCTGAGCAGCTTTTCTGTTGGGGAAGGATGGAGGAGGAGGACGGTCATCTGCCACTCAGCCGTGAGGTTTGTGATGCTCTGTGGGGCTCTCTGGGTTGTTGTTCCACCTTTGAAGCACAGCCTCTGTTATTCACAGCATTAGAGGAGCAGGGAGCATGGAATGGCTGAGATTGGAAGGGACCTCAAGGATCACAAAGCTCCAACCCCACTGCAGGCAGGGCCACCAACCTCCACATTTCATAGCAGCCCAGGCTGCCCAGGGCCCCATCCAACCTGGCCTTGAACACCTCCAGGGATGGACGGGGCATCACAGCCTCTCTGGGCAGCTGTTCCAGCACCTCACCGCTCTCATAGTAAAGAACTTGTTAGAATTAAGAGTAGCAATACTTACAGCCCTGAGGAGCTCTAGAAATGATGGGACGCAGCATCACTAATGATGGAAAAAAATAATTTCTGCTTAACCTTTTACTTTTGTGTAAGGACAGAGATGAGCTGAGGGAATAATTGTGTCCTTTGGTTGGGTGAGTTGCCACGTGGGGCGTTTCTAGTCCTTATTCTGAATGGGTAAGGTTGGAATGTTAATGTATCACAGAGTAGGCTGTAGGTGTCCTAATAGGAGACCAGAACACAGAAGATCCCAGCAGAATTCAGGCATGAACTCGTGTTGACCTATTAAACATAATGAAAAACAAAGCCTCAGTGCTTTGGCCAGCACACAGCTCCTGCATTTCCCTCTCTGTTCTGCACACGCTGTGCTTCTCCTGCTCACACCTTGCTGTTTTCTGCCCCCAGGATTCCCAGTGAGACCAGTGAGCAAAACCCAGCCGCCTCTGCACCGCGACCGTCCCGACCCACACAGCCGTGGGGCCGTGGGGCACGGGGGGCCCGGCTGAGGCACGGTGGGGATGGGCATGGGGACACATCCAGAACCTGTGTGGGGTCAGGCAGGATCAGGAGGCCGCCCCGGAGGAAGCCTGATAAAGCCCTGTATGTCCCCAAGGCGATGCGTAAGAAGGCGGAATGGGGGGAACAGGAGGCGGGCGCCAATGGGGCGCGAGAAAGGGGGATCTGCCCCAAAGCTGCACTTGAGGGGGAGGCTGAAGGCAGCCCCGAACCCAACGCTGCCATCAGTGGAGTCTGTTTGGTGCTTGATGAGCAGCACAAGGCTGGGGAGGAGTCGGGAAAAAGCAATGATGGCACAAATGGCGACCGTCCTCCACGCTGCACCGATGTCCCCTTCTTAGAGAGCAGCAGCAGTTCCTCCGGGCAGCACAGTCAGGATAAGGACTGTTCAGATGCCCTCTCTTCTGTACCCAATGAAAACCCAGCTGAGCCAGAAGAGCAGAGCAAGAGCTGTGACAACGCCGTTGGACCAGAAGGCAGCGAGACTCCGTGCCAAGACCAAAAGAGCCACGATAATGATGTTCTGGGGTCCAGCAAGAGCTCCCACCTATCGGGGGAGCACTGCTCTGATGCCACGTTGGTGCTGGAGAACCAGGAGAGGAGCTGTGCTGTGAGCCTGGAGGGCAGTGGGAACATCTCACTGCAAGGCGAGGATGTGGTAAGGCCAGAGTTGGAGCTGGGCAAGGGTCCCTCTGGACCAGAAGGTGAAGATCAGGAGAACTTCAGCGGTGCCCAAGAAGAGCCCACCCAACACCAGACCCCATTGGAAGCACGTGGTGAGGCTGTGCTTGTGTCAGAGCCCATCGGTGGGGCTGGTCCATTGGGTCCCAGTGAGCAGGAGGAGCACAGGGTGGACGAGCCCGTGGTCAAGGATGAGGCCAAGGAGCCCGTGGGCTTGGCTGATGCTTTACAGCGTGAGCTGCGGTTGTCCAAAGGGGACCAAGAGGAGAATGTGGCCACCCAGAGCCGGGAGCTCGCCTTCGAGGATGACTGCACTGCAGAGCTCCTACAGGAGGTAATGCATGCCATGGGCACTGCCTTTGGGTTACTTTAGGGTTAAGAGGGCGTTCAGGGGTTGTCCTCAAAGGGAGACATCGGTGCCAGGCTCTGCGGTTGGCTGCTCACCCTCTTGGACCCTCCGTGGGTTGGAGGGACCGAGGTGGGACCCTGCAGGATGGCTGTTGGCCACAAAGTCCCATGTGGTGGGTGCCCAGTGTGAGCTCTCAGTCCATGCAGCGTGTTGCCCGTATTTGGGTGTTGCATTGGGTCAGGATGCTCAGCGCTGGGAGCACCTGATAGGAACGTTGTCCTGGTGGTTCCACCACCATCCTCTTGGTCTTTGAGTCTTTGCTGTGATGGTAACTCATTATTTGTTTTCTGTACCGTTCCCAGATCGTGGGTCATCTCACCGTGAAGGACATCAGCGTCGAGAGGATCACGGTGGATTATTCCAGCTATGGTGACACGCAGGTCCACGAGGGGGATTTTGGGCACATAACTGAAATCTACGACTTCTCCCCATCACTGAAAACGGAGCACCTGATGGAAGTGTTCTCAGATTTCCAGTGAGTGCCTTTTTGAGAGGCATAAAACGAGCAGTATTCAGAGCTGAGCGCACCACAGGCTGTGATGATGCTGTGCTGGATTTTACCCTCACCCCCATGCTCTGACTCCTTATGCTCCGTGCTTTGAAGGACGTTTTCCTGCAGTTTGTGACTAGAAGTGTTCTTTGAGTCTCTCTTCTGCACAGTGCTGCCTACTTGCAGAGTTATTTGTGCTGCTTTGGCTTCATTGGGAGCTTCTACCTGCTCCATAGGAGCCTCTTTGCTCTCAGGTCCCAATGCCTGTGTTGGGATTGCACGCTTACCTAAATGCTTGCAGAAAGAAAATTAAGAGTCCAATCCTGCTGCATGAGATAAGATGTATTATGTAAACACGGGGAGCAGGCAGCACTGTGCAGGAGGGGTGACATTGGATTAGCAGTGGGGTCAGAGCAAGGTTCTGCCCCATGGGGCGGTCAGCGGGCTCGTACAGCTCTCCATGGGGGTTGGATTCATTGGCAGTGCTCATCCCCTGTGCTGAAAAGCACTGTTTGCATTCTAAATGTGCTGCTGTCTGTTGTCAGTGTTTCCTCTTCTACGTGTTCCCTTCCCTCTGCTGTGAGAGTGGAACTGAGCTGCAAATTGACAGATCTAATTTGAGCGCTCGATCGTGGTTTTTATTTCCCCTGCTGCAGGGAAAATCTTTGATCTCCTCACTCCCCAGCTCGCATTTTCCACTGACACTTTATTAAATAGATTTCTGCTTTGGTCTCTTCATCCAAAGCTTTGCAAACCACTCTGCAAACGAATTCTGCTTTTCATTGCAAGTGGCCGAGCACTCAGGTGGTGCTTATAGGGCACTGTGTGCATGGCAGTATTGCAAGACAGCCCATGAAATAGAGGCTGCTTGTTGGCCAAGAGCTTCTTTAGGGGAAGAAGAGTCCTTGGGGGAATCACACACTGGGACTGGATGTAGTTCTGATCCTTTTCCCCTCTTTGTGAAATGGGCGCAGTGCTCGGATGGCAACACTGAATGCTTGGAAACTCAACATGGCTGTGGGCTTCACTCGCGTGGCTTTTTCTTCCTATGAACCAAAACTCTCGTATTGTTTTCTTCATTGTAGTGAGAGTGGCTTCAAAATCCAGTGGGTGGACGACACGCACGCCCTGGGGATCTTCTCCAGCCTGTCTGCAGGTGGGGAGCTGTGGGGCTCCTGGGCACGAGTTCTGCTTCCTCACACCTTGCTTCTTTGCACATCAAACTTGAGTATCTGTAAGGCGTGTAGCGTGGGAGCTCTGCTTTGCAAGATGAACTGGTTTTTAATTGGCTTGGGTAATTACCGGGGTACCTGTTGTATGGTGAGCTACGCATTGCACGGAATGGTTTTGTCATTTCAGTTTTTATCTGGTGGAGTGGCTTGAGTTTGGGAAGACCTGTCCAGGCCATCCGGTCCGACTCCCCTGCAATGAACAGGGGCACCTACAGCTCCAAGTGCTCAGAGCCCCATCCAGCCTGACCTTGGGTGTCCCCAGGGACAGGGCGCCCACCGTGCATGGGGCAACCCGTGGCAGTGCTCTACAGAATAGATCATTAAGGTCATAAATGACCTCTAAGATCACCGAGTCAGCTGTCAGCCCCGTGCCCATAGAATCGTTAAGATTGGAAAAGACTTCCCCCATCCTCACGTCCAACCACCAACCTGTCGCCATGCACAGCCTGAGCGCCCACACTCTGCTCTTGGGATTTGCTCCTAGTTATCAGTGTGGTCCTTAGAATTCGTGTTTCCTTAGAGCTCCTCCTGCCCAAGGAAGGGCTGATGTAAGGTGGAGGGGAGCCCTGGGATCAGTCGGCCTTGGCAGCCCGTGGGTCGTGCAGCACTGTGGTACCACGGGCTGGGTTTTGTGTGATGAAAGCTGCCACCATTCCCCTGCTGCTGACTTTGTGCTCTGTTCTTTGAAGCATCTCAAGCCCTGGGGCGGCGTTACCCTTCACTGAAGATCCGACCGCTGATCCATGCGACGAAGCAGTCTAAAATTAAGGCACTTCAGCGACCAAGTAAGATGATAAACATGTGTATGTATATCTATGCTACCATTTTTTCAGTTGCCTGTTCTGTGTCCTGGGTGGTCAGTCTCACGGCGACACTTTAATGGGGAACTACTTATTGGATACCAGCATTCCTTTTAACAGCTTTGTTGGCTGTGGCAGGGCAGTATTTGCCCCCAACCTGTTACCTCACATCTTCCAGTGCCACTAATGCTGCTTGTTGCTCTGACAGCCAAAATAGCTGCAAATGGGGGCACAGGTGAACGTGAATATGTCAAAACGTTTGCCCAAAAAGCTCTGCCCTACTCTGCACAATTAAAGACAAACCCCAGAGCAGTTGTTTTGTGGTTGGCATAATTTTATTCAGTATCAGTGAAGAGGAAATGGTTAAGCTCAGCCATTAACATTGGTTTATTTAGTTGATTGCCTTTTAAAATCATACTGTAATCAGGTACATTTGCCACTGTAAAGAAATGCCATGAATCTTGTAGCAGAGAGGCTGACGGAGGCACAGCTGCAGTCACTGCACTAAACAGATGTCAGCATGAATGATTCCAAGGGACACTGTCACAGTTAGAAGTTCCTGAGCTCGATTAAATGTGAAAGAAGTGGTTTGCTTTCACACTTCTCACCTGTTGTCATTCAAATTCTCCATCTGTACCCTGCTGGCAGGAGTGGGATCAGCTTATAAGCATACAAACCCTGCACTCACTTCAAGTGCCATTTATTTCCAAATGCAGGTTTGGATCTCAATTAGCTGACAGTGTCTCTTTTTTTTTCTTTTTTTTTTAATTATTATTTTTTAACAGCTTTTTAAAAGAAAGGTTGGCAGTTCCATGGTCCAAGCTGTGATGCTCTGAGCCTGCCCCCCCTTTTCCCTTAAGCTGCTGCTAGGCTGCCTTTAGGAATAACACTTCTGAAAAAGCAAGCAAAAGCCCACTTGGCTAACTGGATAATAATTTGCAAACAGTTGCTGATAAATGATCAGATAGCAGCCAAATCCAGGTTAGTTTGGACTTGGTAAGGTTCTGGTGCATTGCTTTATTGAGGATGAAACTGCAGCAAGCCAGACGTGTGCTAGGAACTGGAGCTCGCTGCTCCCTCCTGGCCAGTTTTTTCCTAAAGCATCCGATAGATTTAACAGATTAAAAGAAAAAACAACAAAACCAGGCGTTTTCCCTTGGTGCTTTTTGAGGCTGGAGGCTGTTGGTTTTGGTGAGCTGATGCTGAGATGAAATCTCTCCCTGTGTGGCCCCGTGGGTTGGACTGTGCCTTCGCTTTGTTCTCAGAGGAGGGAATGGAGCTGCAGTGTTCCTGAAAGCCTGAAATGGGGAACATTGCACAGCCACAGAGCCTTAAACACACATTAGGGTTGGAAATGACCTCCAAGGTCACGGCAGCCAACCCATCCCCATAGAATCATTGAGGTTGGAAGAGACCATCAGGTCCAACCATCATGGACCACTAGAGGACCAGAGCTTCTTCATGTCCAAATGTCGACACTGTTGCACAAAAGCTGTTGTACAAAATCTGAAGGAAAGCCTTTCCAAAAGAACAACAACTTGCTCTGTAGGGTGGGATGGTTTGCTCATAGCAATGCTCATCCCAAAGGAACTCAGAAAATAGACACCTGCTCTTGTGTCCTGCACGTAAGCCAATACTGCTCCTGAGTAACCTCCAGCTTCACCATTTTTACCTTTTTTCACCCAGAACTCCTTCAGCTTGCCAAAGAGAGACCCCAGACTGACACGGTGGTGGCAAGAAGGTTGGTGACCCGAGCCCTGGGGCTGAAGCACCAGCAGCAGTGCAGCTCCGGCCCCGAAGGGCTCCTGCCAGAAGGTTTGGACCAGGAGGAGTGAACCATCTCCACTCAAAAAAAACCCAACAACCATGTGTAGATGAGCGTGGCTGTGATATTAAACTGCATGCAGAACAGTGAGTTGCCATGGGGATGTTCTCTTTGCTTTCTGAGTTGAGAAGGGGAAAAGTTGAATGAGATGTCGAGCTCCAGAGCCCTGCAGGTTGCTCTTTGTGCTGGAGAACACCGTGCCCTGCTCTGCTCCAAAGCATCTGCACTCTCTGCAGCACGTAAGGAAGTGTTACTTCGTGTTAAAGCCCACCAGGAATTGTTAGGAGTGCACCAGGGTGAGGGAAGGGCATCTCACTGGTCAGCATTCAGTTGGAGCGGAGCATCTGTAGGAGTCAAAAGCTCTGTTCAGTGTTTACTCTGTTGTCATATTGTTGTTCAGATATCCCCCAGTAGTGACAGGCATTGAGGTTCAGGGCTTTTTCCTCATTGAAAAGAAGCCTGCCTGTGTTGTTCTGTTAGAAAGCAAAGTTATTTGTTCATTAGGAGAAGCAAACCAGAACTCAACAGTAGCTCAACTTGCACAGAGCCCAATGGCAAGGGATGCTCCGAGAGACACCTTGAGTTGCAGCAGCAGCAATAGAGCATCCCCCAGGCTCTGCTTTAGCTGCACTGTCCTGCATCTTGAGAACAAAATGGACTTTTCCAACTTCCAGCAGGCTGAAAACCTCTCCTCTGTGTCAACATCTTGGATACAAGAAATACTCCTCTAGGCGTTAGCAAGAACCGTTAAGCCTCACAACATCCCTGTGAGGTAGGATGGTGGGTTGATCCCTGTGGATTGAGATGGTTAATTGGCTGCACTCCATTTAGTTCTAGCTGCGTGTAGAAGCCTTCTGTACAAACACAGAGGGAGAAGGAGACTTCAGTACCGGGAATTGTGAACAAAGCCCTCAGCTGGCGGGGAGTAGAAATACAAAGTAGGATTTAAAAACGGATATATATTTTTTTTCTGGGTGAAACAATTTATTCAAGTAGCTGTGGTGGAAAATCTGTAGCGACGTGCGTCCTCAAACAAACAGAGGAGCACACTTAGCACCATTGTGAACTGAACTAAGAGTAAAAAAGAAATCCTCGGAGCCAACTTAGGCGGTCAGCGCATCCCTGACGATGCAAGCCACAAAGTTACCTCTGCAGGGTACAGGGGTGCAATGCCTTAACTGAACTCATCCTCCAAAAGAGGGAATATCCAGCTTAGAAGGTAACGTGTAGGTGGACGTAGGGGCTGCTGGGTGAATTGCTTGCTGTGCAGTGGGAAGCAACGATCCTGTGGACTCAGCACGGCTTCTGGGTGGTGGAGGAGCTGTGCTGCACGTGGAGGCAGAGTTCTGCATTTGCTGCTCCGTTGGTTCTGGGAGTTGGTTGTTGAATGCGAGAGTTTGGCTGCAGTATTAAATTATGCTTTAGACTGTTCTGCTCAGAAGGAACGCTTCGATGTTGTTTTCTTTCCTGTGTTTCTTTGCTAAAATGGAGCAGTGGCAGCGGTGCTGAGGGTAAGCATCATCACAAATGGAAGAATATGCGTCAGTGGTGCTTCAGCTCAAGCTTGAAAGTACCAAAATGTGAAGAAAATGAACGGTCAAGACCCGTTGAGGTTGTTGATACCCAACCAAAGGCAAACTGAGCTCGCTGCAGCCCAGAGCTGTGTACACACATAAAGATGGTGGGGGGAGGTTGGAGCCCAGTAGAGTTTGAAAGCCTGCTCCCAACACCCTCAGCAGCGGGGATGGGATTTACAAGAGGTGGTCCAAGCATTTACACCGGGAAGGAAGGCAGCTTTAGAAAATAATTTACCTTGCTAATTTAGAGTTTGATTGCTTGCTTGATTTTTGTCTTGGCGCAGTGGTTGGGGAAATGAGCGCAGCGGGAAGCCTCGCTTCTTAAATAGTGGGATGGGAGGCAGTGCTGCTCTATCGGGTGGACACTTTGTTGTTTGTGAGTCCGCTGAAGTGATCAAACTTCTGTTCCGTTTCGTCGCTGAAGGAGCCACCTGTGAGCCCAGAGAACACAGGGTTAGGGATGGAGCGGGCAGAGTGGTGGACGTGGGGCATCGCACAGCCAGAGCAACGTGCTGCAACACGGCCCCAAAGCAAATGCTAGAAGGGCAAGGTAGTTCATGGCTAATTAATTTAAGCATTAATTAAGCCTTGCCATAATTGGAACAGCCAAACAGTCTTGGGTGTAATTGATGTGTTTGGGAGACTTGGCTACGACCTGTGCTGAGTTTTCTGCTAACCTTTGTTGACTATCAGGACTGTGAAATGGTCTCCTTGAGGGTGAGGGTAAAGGGGGGCTCTGTTTTGCTCTTCAATAGGGCCCTGGCCTCACTTTTTGCTCATTTGGAGACAAAAGCTGAACGTATTTTGAAGTAAAAGTATTTTCAAGCTCAGCTGGAGAGCTCATCCAGCACTTCAGTGCTCTTTGTCCAACTGGAGGGGGTTTGGCTTTTCGAACTAGGTCATAAGCTGTAATGTGAGATGACTATTTTCTTCAGAAAAGCAACAAACTAATAATAAAAAAAAAAGAAACAGTGAAAACATTCCTTGAGGAACTTCAGCCAACCATGGAAACTGGCTTTGCCATGGGCTTTATTTGGAAGTTGACAGGCAGCTGCTGTTGAGTTACTTTCCATGTTAAAAAACGGTTCAGCTTAGCCTGCAACTTCATTCCATTTTCAAAGGGATCTGATGATTTTTAAGGCAAATTGGGGCCGGTTGGGCTGTGCTGTTCTCTCACCTGTGTGGCAGTTGTACATCCAGATGCGCTGCCCGTCGTACCGACTCCGGCATTTCATCACGTTGTTGGAGTAATCAGATTCAGCCACTTCATAGTTGGGGTTGATGACGACCTTAGGAGCGATGGAGAAACACAGGGTGGAGTTATTTGGAGGTGAGATTCTAGGATCAGGTTGGGAGAGAATCGTGCTTTTCCATTGCAGCACAATCATGGTTGGACTGGATGATCTTAATGGTCTTTTCCAACTTTAATGAGTCTGTGACTGTAGCTCATGAGGGGAGCAGACAGAGGCTCCTTAATTAAAGCCAGATCATGATCACGCCTCTGCCCACGCACCAAGACATCACCCTCAAACACCTCCCCATTTCACACCATAGCAGTGAAGACAAAAATAATGCCTCCTCCCTTCGCTCCTCTGCAGCTCTGGGCTGCTTTTAGAACCAAAGAATTCCCCCCACCTCCTTCCCCTTGCTCAAAGCAGACTGCAAGCACAGAACTCCTGCAAACGCCCCAAGAATAGCACTTCATCCATCCCCAAGCAAAGCAAGCATTGCTTACAACCTCAGAACTTTGTCCAAGACAGCGCGTTGCATTCCATGTCACCTATCTGTGTTACTGGCATTAGCTGCACATGGATTGTGGAGGACTACCCAACGTTGGCTGCGTGTGGGTTACTTAAGACTGACATTCCTGACACCCCTACTGGATAAGAAACCTCTTTCCCCCTACCTGGAAGAGGTAATCTCCTGGTGGGACGTCGGTGATGTCGATCCACTGGCAGTCGATGTCGTGTCGGTACACATCCCAGCAGCCAACAGTGATCCCTTGTTCACCAAAATTGGCACACTCGTACTGTTTCTGCACATCTGAAGGAGTTGAAAGCACAGTGTTGGGTTCTCAGACTGTGTCAGGGGAAGGGCGGGTTGTTCCCTAGCTCCCGTGGGTAGCAATGAGCTACAGGCACACAATTTTGGATGAGACAGTTCAACGCTGCTTTGCTTAATGTCTTGTAATGAGAAGGATGCACCAGTAACATGCATGGGAAGAGCTGCCACCTCCTGTGTCATCACCCAGAGGAGAGTTTGGGGATTCCTTGCTTTGTGGGAACAACATGCACACTTTGTAAGTGAGAAGCTGAGTTCTGGCAGCCTCAACACACGGGCTCTGTAGGGTTTCTCTTATAGCATAGAGAATAGAACAGCCATACCTGCTTCACATTCGGTGTCTTCCAGACAGAAGCTGGCTTTGTGTCCTTCAGCTACCTTGGTTCCATTGAGGTTCAGTAGATCATAGTGGGTGAAAACCTCCATGCTGTGGTAATGCCTGCAAGACACGAGGATTCATTAAGGAAAACAGCTCTTTAATTACTGCCCCTCAGGGGCTGCGCGGGGGAATAGAAACAATGCAAAGTGCTGGGGACCAGAAGGAGCAGAAGAAGAGAAACCACAGCCAGGAAACCTTCCCCTGGGCACCACCCTGCGTGCTGGCTCCCAGCCCAGGGCTGGTTCACATAGCAGGTGCTGAAGCTGCTTCCAGGTAAGAGCCTTGGTAGGATCACACACTGTTTTGTAAGGGCAGCAGCAGCCAGGTTATCATTTCTAGTGCACTGTCATCACTACAAGAAGCATTTCAGTTGCTCTGTACCAACAGGCTGTAACCAGCACAGGGTGTACTCACACTATCAACCTATTTTCCATTTTTTCCCCCTCCTCAAAACGAATGACAGATGGAAGCATCTTTCTCAGCACTCGCTTCACGGGGAGCTAAACAACATGACAGCTGGCATCACACACCTTCCATCCCATAGCTTGAAATGGGGAGATGTTAGCATCAACCCAACCTGGGCCGCAGTGCCAGCACGAATGCGTCAGAGAGAGCACACAAGATGGGCTGTAGACTCGTAGTTAGCAAGGTTAGGCCCATAATTAGCAAAGTCAGGCCCCCCCTGCAGGGTTTGGGTAATGCTGACCATTGTGTTCTATGCCACGATGCTGGTTCAGCAAGGCATTGAACCTGCACTGAGGGCAATGGGAAGAACCAGGGTGCAACATGGGGTCAAGGCTGGGAGCACGAGTGTGGCCATACTGATGGAAAACACTCCTTATGATCCCGGACTTGGGACAGGGGGAAAACCCACAGCACTCGTTGGGAACAGGAGGTCCTGAAACCCCAAGACACCAAAACCCATCGGTGTGGCTCAGGAGGGAGGCAATGCCCACACAATTCAACGCCAACCCAAACTCAGCAGTGCTGAGCACAAGGCACAGCTCGTCTCCTTCCCAGCTGTAAAAATAACTGTGGCTCAAAGCTCCCAACCCATAGCATTGCAGCACACATTTCTGCAGAAAAAGGGGGCAAGGCTGAAAGGGGCAGAAATGTTTCCTCCAGAGATTAGGTTTCTTTTTACCTCCTTTCCTCTAAAACCAGCAAAACCCAAACCCACCACCTGCCAAAAGTCAATCCCTTCTCACTCCCTGATACAGTCTTTCCCATTTTTGTTCTGCTCCCACATCAAAAGGCTCCTGAACAGAAGCTCCCAGTGATGGGGTGAGGCAACAGGGAGAGAAGGGACGTTTCCAAGCTGTTGACTTGCGAGCTGTCTCCTTTGGCAGCTTCTGATAGAAGTTTGAGGTCTCCAGTCTGACTCACTTTCTGAAATATGTCTGAATCACTCAAAGAGGTGTTTACTTTCTGCTGTTTACAGACTGGAAACATTGAAGAGGAATTGAGTTCATCCTCCTCCGTACAAACAGAATCCAGTTTTGAGCACACAGATGGCTCTTGGCCTCTCCCCAATCTCACCTCACTTATGCAGTCTCCCAAATTGCTCCGAAAGTCTCCTTCACCCACCCCACGATGTGCTCAGCTCCTTGCAGAACCCATGCATTCCCCCTTCCAGGGCCAGAGCAGAAGCAGAGGTTCTGCACCCATTTGGGTTTCCTCCTCCTGAAACTGCCATCTCCTGTTTATTTTGGGCTCTCTGCCGCTGAGGTTTTAGCAACACACATCACAAAAGCAACCTGGCTGCGAGGTGTTGTGCCAACACGTGCCCCATCTGAAGCTCTGCAGCCTTTGTGACACTGAAGCAGCGCTGCCTGCATCCCACTTTGCTCACAAACTGCTCGTAGAAGAGTGCAAAACCTGAGCATTTGTCGCTCTGTGCGGCACAAACCTGACAGCAGTGGCAGAACAAAAGCTGGGAGCTGAATTTCTCAGCTCCCAAGTCAGAGGAAAACCAACCCTGTCCCAAACTGTCACTGCAGAACCACAGCATCAGCTCGGTTCCCATTCCCCACGGCTGGTTTGGTCAGTGGACCCAACAGCGCTCACCGATGGCAGTCATGCCAGACCCAAGCGTGGCGACCATTTTTGGGGCGGAAATCCGACTGCCCGTTGTTGTGGATCTGGGAGGAGAAGCGCAGCAGGCGGCGGTAGCCGGAGGTGACGGAGGTGTTGATGGCTGAGCTGGCCAAGCAGTTCTCCTCCTGCGCACACTGCAGCATGAACATGGGGCGGTCCTCCAGGTAGGCGGTCTGCTCCACCAGCTCGGCGTTGAGCACCAGGTCGGGGGCAGCTGGTGGGAGGGAGGTGGGAAATGAGCTGATGGGCTCCTAAAACACACCGCAGTTTGCTAGAGGTGGGTCCAGCCCTTTCTTTGGTCAGCCCCATCCCGCTGTTGGGGCAGGTCTTTTTCTCCTGCGTATCCCAGGGCAAATGCAACAAAATGAACTGAAGCCCAGGTTAGGGTAGCAAGATACTGATATGGAGCTCAGAGAGCCTGTGGATGTCCCATCCCTGGAGGTGCCCAAGGTCAGGTTTGGTGAGGCTCTGGGCAACCTGGTCTGGTGGGAGGCAACAATCCATGGTGGGGGGTGGCACTGAATGGGCTTTAAAGACCCTTCCAACCCAACCATTCAACGAATCCATCATTTTTAAGGACCCTTCCACCCCAACCCATCCTATGCTTCTATGGCCTTT